GTAAGCGAAACTTTCGGGGGAGCTTTATTACTTCAATGGATTGAGGACACGTTCCACGCAATCCCTTCCTCTTTTACTATTACAATTATCCGCCGCAAATCATCGAATCATTAAATTCTGTATAAATGTATAATAATAAAATATTTTAATGGTGAATTAATTGTACAAAAACTTTGGGTGTACGTTTCGTCCAGAACCTGCCAGGTGGACTCATCAGTAAGGCTATCCCCAGCAGGTCCTTGCCTTAGACGTAGGAGAAGGTGGGGGAAACACAGTAGTAGGAGAGGACCAAGGAGGCACTGGCACAACACTTCACGATCATCGATGATCCTTAACGACGGCCCTGTGCCGCGTCGATTCAGATTTCCAGACTTATCCGTCTGTATCTCTCCACCTGCCTCACACTGCTCGAGGAGGGGACTCTAAACTCTGAATTCCAGACATTCCCGTCTGTTTCATCACGAACGTACCTCATACTCTCGAGGACAAACCGGTATTGATTCATATAGACCCTTGTGTCTTTCGTCATCTTTATGACATCTCTGTATATGCCTACGTAGGCGACCATTTTTGTCTTTACGACTCTCACGAAGACTTCAAACTGCGTCTTCTTTCTTGCCTTCCCTTATGAAGGACTTCCGAAGTTGCTCTGGCTCTCCCATACTCTCTTCCAATCTCCTCACTACATACGATCCCCCCGTGTCTTCCCCTTTGTTTCAGACGGAAACGGTGATGGTCAGGTTTTATTTTTTGCTTCTGAAGTTTGCCGCCCCTGTCGCCGCCTTTTGGCTAGGCCATAGTGTTGGAAGGTGGCCTCTGTTATAAGAGCTGTTGCTGCTGCTGCCGTGTTGACTGCTGGTTTCAATCTGCTGTGCTGTCTTAGGATGGCCATTCAGTTGTCATTCGGAAACCTTGGAGCGCTCTCGGTCTTCGAATTCCATGAGAGTACCACACGTCGAGGAGATTTTACCAGACTATTTTGGCCACACCCGATTTGATCGGGGTAGACTTGGTGGTGTTTCGTCTCGGCAGTCGGAAGATTGGATTCCTCGGGGCGTATATGTCCTCCGTTTCGTGGCCATACTGAGGTAGCTGCGGATTGATGAATCTTGGGCGGCGACAAGAGGCGTCTTTTTTTCCTTTCTTCCTTTGTCCATGATTCTCGTGCTGAAAGAGGATGGAATGAAAGAGAAGAAAGGGTGTTGGTAAGGAAACATGGTCAGGTAAAGTAAGATGGTGGTAAACGCGTTTCGTCCAGAACCTGTTAGAGGACTCATCAGTAAGGCTCTACTAACAGGCCCGTGCCTTAGACGCGGGACGATTGCTATAATTTCAGAAGTGCTATTTAAAGGAACAGAAGGGCCTATACGACCACTTGCGCGAATGTTTGCAGACATTCGCAGGCTCCGAACCCTCTAGCGGCAAACGCAAATATATCGACGCATTTGGGTGCCAATATGAATTCTTTACATATGTTCAGTCAGTTTTATTTATTAATTTTGAAATGACTGTGTTAATTATCAATTTATGTAATACTGCCATTTTTAATATTCTATTCACTTATTAATAGTATGTCACAGAGAGTCAGTATTTCATGTTTATTTAAATATGAAAATATAAAATTGACATTAGTATAGTTTTAAATAATAGAGCAATGAAGTATTCATTCTTTGGAATTGATAAGAAAATACCCATAGCTACATATTTTATGGCCTCATTCTGTTATCTAATCTCACTTCCAACTAAAAATGGTAACAAGAAAGGTAGAAAAATTAATAAGTAAGTATTTCTTTTATTTCATACCAACCGAAATAACACCTTTATAAAAAATATTACAAAGGTTTTCAATAATTATTCGCTAACGCGTACAAAATAATTTTTTTTCAAAGAATTAGTACATTCGTTGACAAGTCGTAAAACACCTTCAACAACTTTTTCGTAGAACTTAATTAAAATTTTGAGAACGTTATTCTCAATTTTTACAACAGATTGATACAATTATGTTTATAACAGATTTAAATTATTTAATTATTGTCTCAGGATCTCTTCTGATTTTTCTGGCAATTTCACGTTTGTCGCCCAATCGCAAACATTGAATTTGGAATTGAAGAGTAGCCCTTTTGCACATGTCATCAAGAAAGGTCTACCTTCGTCGCAAATGTAGAACGTTGCGAGATCATCTGGATTCGGAAGTATAATTGGATATCTTCCGTTGTGGGCCGGACATGGTTCCGGTGGAGTGGCGAAAACTAATGCCACCAAAATCGTAGCGAATGCCACTGCGTACATTACTATAAAACGTACAAACGATTTTCGATGATTAAAAACGTGAAAAATGCGAGAATGCATTAATTATAAGTTCAAGTATTCGAAAAATAGAAAACTGATAGTCGATTTAAATAAAATAATGTGAACACAAAAATAGTAACTTCGCTCATAATGAATGTTTGATAATTAAATAAAACATAGTGAATATTTGATTGTGTCATTAACAATAAATAAAATATATATGTAATTCCGAAAATATACTACAATGAAGAAAAATATTTAAATATAGGTAGCTGGGTAATAATTCATTTAAGAAATAACATTGAAATTGTATTTTAATATAAACACGTACCTTTCATTTTAATTAGTCACAAGCTATCGTAATTGCTGTTCCTCAACGTCACGTTACACTGGTCACAGTGATCGGTAAGAAATCAATTGATCGTTATATATCACTTTTCTTAGCAGGCATGTGTTGCAATCGCTTATAAGTTTTATTACATCAAGATAAAATTGTAGGCGATGAACTACATATTTCACGTATGTACGCCAAGATATTTCAGAGGATTACTAAATTCCACATATCTAATCCCAGATGAGCATTCTGTTTGTTCTTGGTCACCTCGGCATCTTATCAATGTAAACCAACTCCATTTCCTCTTTCTAATTTCCGATTGATATTAAATTTCTACGGATTATTCTAACATTACATAAAATTTGACACGTGTTCAATTATTTTATTATTTCTTCTTCAAAAAATTTTTCTTTCATATTCTTGAAAAAGAAATAATGGATTTGAACTTGCGTATCAAGAAATTACGTAGTGTAAAACCGCAGATAATTTCCAATCACCCTAACGTAATACGTAATTCATCTATTTTATGCATATAAATTTTATTAAATATTTTGGCTTCAATTGAGAGAATGTAAAACTCCAAAAAGCTTTGGAAAATCTCTGGCAATGAATATTTGTGGGACGACGTATATTTTAAGCAGAGAAAAACTTCTCTGTGTTTTAAGTTAGGGACACAGTTTTGGTACTGTGCCTAGCAGCTTACACGAAACGAAATTTTCAATTCCATTTTTCGTAGGTCGTCAAAAATAATCTCTATTTGAAAAGGTAAAAGACAGCATTGGTAAATGAAAGGCAATACGACAATCAATAGTACTATTAAAAAAAGGGACGCGTATGTAGAAAGAGTAATCGACTACGTAGTACGTGGACCTTTTATTCCGTACTAGTAGTAGAGAACTAATCAATCAATACTCTCCTGTTCCTGCTGTCTTTGTTTTTTTTACGTTGATCCGAACAAAAAGATTGGTAGATGTAGATACTAGATACAAAACCTAGTTCAATCAATAGATCAGTTATTCCATTTAACTGAAGCTTTATTCAGCATAGAAATATAATATAAACTTTTGAGACTATATATGTATATATATAATGCAAATAATATATTTAAATATACTAATATCTATATCCATGGGGAACCACCTGTTGACTCACTGGTAGAACTCCAACTGGATCATTCGTACAGGAAATAAAATTGGATTAGGACTGGCTTTTCATATAACATCAACGTGTTTAATAAAAAATTAATTTTCCTTCTTCCATTAATTTCAACAATTTAAATACTCGTTTTGTTACAAAACGTGAAATATTTCGAATATCCTTTTGCAAATAGAACTTCGATGATTAAAAAGTTATCAATCAATGATGAATGATTGTTGAAGCGTTGATTCTGAAGAAAATACTTGCGAAATACTCTTGTGAAATGTATACAAGTCCATAAATACCTGTACACATTTGAAACTTGAATAATTTCTTTAATAATGGATTTAAAGGACTGATTTCGCAAATGTTAGAATAATTAGTTTACTATATGATGTACATCAGATTTACAGAGAAACGAGTAAAAGGCACAATTGTAACTTTATTCGACTTTTTGATAAAAATTTAAAACATAGTTACAGTTACCAATTTATTTACAATAATTACTTTACATTAGCGTATTAAATGTATATTTTTAAAATATGCAATTAATGTAAAAGTGAAAAGTGACCATTGAATGTAGTAAAACCATTTCTCTAGAGGCAAGAGTCAATGTAGCCCTTAATTTTTTTGAAATTTTACATTCACCGCATGAGATCAAGCATCAAGTGCTGATAAAATACAGATATATTGATATGTACATATTTTACAAATTACTTATAGTAAGCTATTAAATAATATATTTTTATTTAAAAATAGTATAAAAAATACACGAAATAAAAATTCATTGCATCAGCACTCTAATATAAAATAAGGGAGAGCATAGAAGCATTATTTTAAAAGAATAGTAAATATCGATTCTATGAAATACATTAGACTTCTGGAACGGTATCATTCATGAGGGCCTCAAACCCAAAGCTAAATCTATGATTTGTTTTTCTAGACGTTCTCCTCGAATCTTTACTCCGGGTGCGAGTTGCAATTCTTTCATATAGCGGAACATATGATTCGCTTAAATCGGCAAATTCGTCAATGAATCCAGATTTCTCTCCAGAAGATTGATTTTCTTGGTACCGATCAGATTTCGCCTGAATACTAACATCTCGATTAATCGTTTCTACGTTCTCAATGGTTCCTCCACATATAGCTTTCTCATCTGCAAACGTTTGCACATCTTTCGTAACGTTATATTGAAAAACTTTTCTACTGCATATATCGTCGATTATTTCTGATACGTTTAAATCGTGATCGTCGTTGTCGGTGAGAAAATCATCTGGGGAAAGTTCATTAAACATTCTATCTAGCGTGTCATTGCATCTCGAATTGATATTTTCCAATTGTAATACTTTATTAATCTGAGGTCCGCGTTTCTTTTTATTATTTCCTTTTTGACCTTCTCGTGAGCCTGTTTTCTTAGATCTTTTCGGTGAAATAGTCAGACTTTCAAAAGACTCTTCTAACGACGCGGGAGGATTTTTCGATATGAATTCGTCGATCTTCCTATTATTTTCAACATCGTCTAAAATATTTTTTTCCTTTTTCTTCTGACGTCTTTTTTCTGCTTTGCGTTCACCATTATCTTCGGCATTTCGCGTTTTTTTCTTAGTCTTTCGTTTCTTAGCATTCTTCGCATTTTCAAATACTTCGACTAACTCTGGATAACATTTTTGTACAGCATCTTGCGGTTCGATGCTCGTTAACTCGATCAGATCATCTACGTCGTCATCGTCGTCGCTCTTTTCATTCGCCGCTACGCGTTCTCGTAATTCTTCTACTATGTAATGATTATTATTCCAAATAATTTCGTAACTCGCAACGCACCTGATGTTTCTAATTTTTTTTATCGTATCAGGTACAAACAAATCGGGCATTAAAACACGGTGGCTAATAGAAATATTCGGCAAGTGCACGACCTGCCAACGTGTAGCAAGAGGAAATATTTTTTCGAACGCGTACTGCGGTTCCCAAGACAAATGCTTCTCCATGAATTTCTAAAGAAATTCAAATTAAATTTAATCAAAATGTTCGAAGTGATGTATGAAACAAATGCATCTTAGGTCTGCTTACTATGAATTTACTAATTTGTGGTTGTTTCCACTGTATATCTACTTTGGTAGGCACTGGGTCTTTCCTAATAAGAAATTCATCTATTAATTCTTGGTTTGGGAAACCTTCAACAAAAAGTGTCTTCTTTCGCAAACCAATCTCATTTAATAATAATGCTCTTCTCTCTCTAAAAAAAATATGTCGTAGCAAATATTACATACACTCACGTACTTCGTAAAATAAAAATAACTCAAATGATTTACAATATACCTATAAGAGTCATTGCATTTCACAACTGTTCCACAATCTATGCAACCTGATTTCGTGTGCTTCTGCACCTTCCCACTATGACCACAAGATGTGCACAAATTTGGATTTGATAATTCTTTCTCTACAAGATCTAACGTCTTATCTGTTTTCCAACTTTTTAAACTAAAAACGAAAATCATATAATACGCAGAACAGAATAGAATTTATAACTTACCGTTCAAGAACATTCTTGTCTTCTACAAGTTTGAAGAACTTCATAGCAGCTTCCTTGCCAATACCATTTAATCCTTCATCGTAATCACAGCCGCACAACAGAGCTAACGCTATCATTTTGTTTCTTCCAAGACCTAACACTCTTTCTATCTTTTCTAAACTGTATTCGTCCACTGCACCACCCGAACCTCCACGATTTCCTTGAGCACTTGTACAAAAATTTCTATAAACCACCTTCGCTCCATATAAGAAACAATCACTGTCCTGGCTTATGCATCCATCAACAAGCTGTACAGATGTCATTACAGTGAAAAATATGGCAAGCTCGTAGTTTCTATGATTGATAGGGATAGAATATTACCCCATCTTCATTTAAATAAGCACACATTGCTTCCGCCTCTCCATGCCCTTGGACGCATGCTAGCCCCATGTAATCGAGCATTTCTTTACACTCTTTCAGAATCCTATTGAAATATGTTCTCCCTCTTCTATGCACAGTATTTCTTTCCTGATTTCCACTACGAATATTATTTCTTTTTGCAATTGTATTATGCTTCAAAGTAGGTGCTTTCCCTTCTAACACAAATACTGGTGATATTTCATGCATAAGGAGAAAGGCTGTACGAAAATACAGATTCCTATAATGATCATTAAATTAATTTATCTTAAGATACCGGGAAAAAGTAGAACATAGTATCAATTGGAATATACGAACCTAAGGTACATTTTTGGTTGCATGGAGGGATCAGTGATAGTTTGACTATCCACGATCCAACAACTTATATCGATGGCTATTGTCTTCCCTTGTAGCTCAAACAATGGCTTTCTATCGCACAAAGGCGATACAATATTCCAGAGATCTTTTACACCCATTTTAAAAATTGAAATTTGTAAACAACGCTGTAGCGAATGGTAACAAACGCCGAAACACGCCGAAAGCTACGCTCGGAACAGCTCGGAACTCGGAACTCGGAATAATTAGAATACCCACTGCGTGCGTGGATTCACCGGAATGAGTGTTGGGATTTGAAAATGCGTTTATGTCGAGGAGTTAAAAGCGAAATTAAAGCGAGAATGCAATAGGAAAGGTACGATCATTGTGCGAATCGTGCGAATGTAATATGAATTCTATGGTGTCAATACTGTCACGCTTGTCGTGTGCCTGTGCCGGTCATGCGCGGAATGCGAGTGGATCGTTTTTTTTCGGGGTGCTCTGCTGTACGATCATGCTAATTATGGTCTTCGAATTCTGATACATAATCGTCGATCAACGAAAATTGTGGAACTATGAGAGACTGGAATCTGGATTCTTTTTTTTATCTTTTAAAACGGTGTCACTCCGGACGTCACGTCCACTGCAAGCTATAACCTATGACGTAAATGTAAACATCGAAGGTGCACGCACGGAAGGTGGCCGTCGGCTTTAATAAAGAAACTGCACGTGAAAATAAAATAGTTAAAGACAACTCTTTGGAAATGAAAATAACAAAATCTACCGTCGTTCTGCTGCTCTTCGTGCTAATGTTGTCGATATTTGTGGCGAATGTCGCCGATTTGATCAACATCGATGATCATGTGTTCGACGATACCGTTCATGACACCGGGAAGGAGTCGTTAAAGCCGAAATTTTATAACATCGGTGCATCGTTTGATCACCTAATTTGGTTTTTACAGGTTCGTTTATGTAATATGTAATACAATTTTTATTTATTTTAGAGTTCAAGTGTATAACAGAATGATGGGTTATAGCACATGCTCATTAATTATGAAGTATTAAACAATATTGTATCAACGCTTTGTTTTATTCTTAGATAACGGACATACATATAAGTATATTTCAAGATCCATTTAGAATAATGGAATTAAAAGAATTTTGCAATATTACTGTGGATAGCATTAAACCTTCTGTTGTACTAGCCTCAGGTAAACTTCAGATTTCCCTTTCCAGTTACTAATATTGTTCGTTTATAAATTCGGGTTTATATGAGTAAAATAATTTTAGGTGACCTGACAGATGCAAAATCCAAAGATAAGATGGGATCAAAGCAGATATTAGAAGAATGGCAATACTACAAAAGTGTTTTAGATGACACTGAAGTTAGTAAAAAAACTTTATGGTTAGACGTGAGGGGCAATCATGGTAAGAATTACATTATAAAGCTATAAATTTAAGTGTTATGGGGATAAACTCCTATAGCAGTGCGATATAAGAATGGTAATGTCAAAAAATATAGGACTATACTTTTCGTCCTTATGTAAGAAGATTTTTAGATCGTTAGAGGCCTCGTTGAAAAAAGAAAAGTTAAAGACATGCTCTGCATTTGTCTTTGTTTATAATTCAAAATTAGATGGTTTTTAATGACGAAAACACGCCAGATTTAACCTCTTTCCAAAGAGGCACCTACCTGGCGACCCAAAAATCTCCTTAAGTAAGGACAGAAAGTATAGTTCCGTAAACCTATATTTTACACTATTTTTGCCTGGTTATCGAAAAAACGTCAAAATTTCGCGTATGACTGCATTAACTATTTTATCTACCCTAGGCCCTTAAAGTATAATAGACAAAATGTGATTATATTTATTCTACATTATATATTCGACATTGTAGTTACAAAATTTTCTTTATTTGTTTCAGATAATTTTAACGTATTAACTTCTGAATCAAAAAATAATTATTATTCAAACTATTCGATTCAAGGAAAGAAGAACCCCAGGTCTTATATGTATACTATAAATATTGGTTCAGAGTCGTACACGTTTATTGCGATAGACGCTTGCTTGAAACCTGGACCGAGAAGACCATTTAATTTCGTTGGCATGTTAGATGAGCATGAAGTTAAAACCATAAATACTTTAGTGAATAGATCACAAGAAAATAATGCAGACTTTATAATATGGTTTGGCCATTATCCCACGTCCTGTATACTGTCGCAAACTAATACAAGCATTAGAACTATTATAGGTAATTAATTAATAGAGGGTTTTACACAGACATCTGAAATCATATAGATGTACCAAGTAATGGAAACGAAAGATACAGTTGGTTCACTAACTAATTATGCAAAGATGACAATGAATGCAATTGTAACAAACAATATTGATAAATAATATTATTTTATGTTTAAGGATGCTTTGCTGTAATCTGTTTTTAGTATTTATCGCGAAGTGTATTTTCAGGGAGAAATAAGGAAAGCATGGTGTACCTTTGTGGACATTACCACATGCTTGGTGGAGCGGTACCTAATATGTACACGTTACAACATGCGGGTTTCCTTGAATTGGAATTAGCAGATTGGAAAGATAATAGAATGTAAAATCTGTAATTTCATATAAAATTGCATGCTACGAATCTAAGAATTTCGAATTGGTCAATTACGATCATGTTTTCTTTCAGGTATCGCGTAGCAGCAGTGGATCACGGCCAATTCTCGTTCATCGATGTCAAGCACAAGGAATGGCCGGTTGTATTAATTACTAATCCTAAACACGCTTTATACGCCATGCCCAGAAAAGAGAACATAATGTCTAGTATTAAATCCACTCACATACGGTAAGCATTATTTTCTAAAACGCTAAACTAATCGCTTGCTAAAGCTATCGTCTTGTGTTAGTAATAGTGTAACACTTTTTATTTATTTTATATCTTTTCTTTTTATAGGATATTAGCGTTTTCTATAGCGTTAATAAGGATTGTCGAAGTGCAGTTAGACAGTGAGGCTTGGCTTGAATGCGAGCACGTTAAAGGACCTCTTTACGTTTTAAGATGGGACACGATAAACTACACAGAAGGGATACATAATATTCGAGTTTAGTAAAATATGTTTTTCCTTTTATTATATATATAATACAAACATATACACATACATGTATATAGAAATGCGTGTGTGTGTATATATATTTATATGATGTGATATATCATCTTTACATGCATAAGAATTAATCAGAAATGTATGAATTACAGGTAAGAGTTTCAGACGTTGACGGAAGAGAAACTGTGGTGTCCCAACCATTCGCATTAGATGGTTCTCGTTTGTCATTTCGTATTTTGCCCAGATTTGTACTTATGTCTAACGTCAGTACTATCGTACGTAAAATAATATACTGCGAAGCTCCTATTACTTCGGATAAACTTGTGCTAATATCGTGTATCTTTTATGTAGTTTCAATTCTTATTCGGGACAGTACTAGCATTATTAGTGATCCCACTGTGTTTACTTCGTTTACTTCACATATTGTGCGAAAGTAAGTGAATCACGTAAGAAATATGTAACATGTGTTCGTTGAAGAGTAATGTATATTTTCGTTATCAGAGAAGCAAATGCATCGGCCGAGGTTCAGAATAAAATTCTTTCACTCCTGGCTTCGAAAATTATGGATATTGTCTACCGTCGACCGTTTGTTCTTTCCATTAGTACTTTACACACTGTATTTAATAGTTGGTAAGTAATAGATCACACGTCTACACATTTTCTTTGATTCGGGAATTTTTCGTTTCATGAAATGAACGTTTCAGGTCCATGGGCGATCGGTGAAGTGATTGAAAATCAAACGGGTGTGATCTTTGCCTGGGGAACGTTTATCGGGAATTCTTTCTTACCTGGTGCCTTCACTTATGCTTATGGATTTTTCCAATTATTTTCCTTCCACATACCGTTAATGCTTATTTTAGCTAACAGAGTCGACAAGCGGTAAGATATAATTCACGATTCCCTTGTCGTTTTATATACGGATTGTGTTCGAAAACGTAGGCATAACTCGTCAGTACACTAAAATAAGAAAAAAGTTTATACGAACTTTTAGTGTACCGAATTTATCCACATTTTCGGAAATACCCTGTATATGTATTTCGCTGACAATATTTGTTATATTTGTTAAATTGAATATTAATTTTACAGATTACATAATACCAAATCGAATGATAAACCATCGTCTAAGATCTGTTTTTTCCTGCAATACGTACCGATAACATTATTAGTTGCCATGCAGACGTGCATGGCTTACTTCTTTTGGCTGGCATATGGAACATTGGCTTTTATATTGTGTCCATTACGCACCTGGAGCATTTTCTTAGCACTCATGTTGTGGCATCAAGTAGATACAATGCCACACTCATGTCTTACGTACGTACATTAAAATTTAGCGAAACCTAATTATTCGTTTCAATAAATATAAGACAATAAACAATAGACTGAGGGTTTAAATTATTTTTGCTGATCTCTTCAAGGATAGGGAAAACATACTTTGGAAGAGTTTCTGTCTGTCTGTCTGTCTGTCTGTCTGTCTCTCTCTCTCTCTCTCTCTCTCTCTCATACTGATAGAAAGAAGAGAAGCTCTTGCGTTAATTTTCTTTCTCTTCGTTGTCTGGTTTCAAATCTCCCAAGTAAAAACAATTTTTCTTTCGTTATAGATCTGCTGCGAAAGTTTGGGCTCCCCTTGGTTAAATTATACGAGGTATAGTAATGTACTGAGAAAGCATACTAAATTACTATTATTTATTTCAGTGAAAGATAGTGCCTAGTTAAAGAATTCATACGTCTTTGCATATAATTTGCGATATACATGTACATATATTTATTTTTCTTAACGCATTTATTCTAACTTCATTGAGTAAGCTATTATAAATTCACCCATATCCGGTTAACATGGTCATCGTTTGGTTCGAAACGTTGATTACATGATGCGTACAACGGAATAATAATTTTTATAAATCGAAAATGCCTGCTTATGGCTACGTGCATATTACAAGTTGATGAGTTCCTTTAAAAGTGCCACATATGTTCATAATTTTGTGATTCAAAGGAATTATGGCGAAGACTGGTAATATTTACTTATCGCACGATTTAAAGCAAATAATATTAATCGATTTTAGCTTCCAGGCTAAACACGTTTTGAAACTCCTTAAAGCTTCAGTAATTTGTATTACTTTAGTTTTCTAATTCTAGGTAAAAACAATTTTTCATTGTGACTAGCGATGCTTCCACATTGTTTTTCACTTATCTAGAAACATTGTAAAGTAAACTGTGTGCGGCGCATTAATGTGAAATAGAATGATAGCTTTATTATTGTGTTTAGATCGCGTTACAGGTAGTACATTTTAACTAAGAATTAGATTCTTATGTATTTATACGCGAAGATGGGAAACGCAATAAGATAAAGTATATAAAACAACAGTTAACATATAATGTAATAAAGAATGTTTTCCTTAATTTCGAAAACAAATTTTTACTAAGAATAATCTCGTATATATTTTTAAAAGAAAATTAAATACTAGGTTTATACGTCTCTAAATTGAAACCATTCAGCTACGTTTCATCTCTGTGATAAAAAAATAAATTATGATATTTAAAAAGTAATAATCTAATGAAATTAAGAATTTTACTAGTTTTAATCTTGTCAGATATTCTATTAGGCTCTCGATTAGGCTCAATTTCTAAATGTTTGTAACGCCTTTACGTTCTGTTTGTAATGTTCTAATTACGTTTTATGAGAGTAGATGAGGAAACGACAAGACGGATTAAAAAGATTCTCAAAGTACGGAACAGTATTTCCTTAGACAATAGATGCTACTCTGCTGTCCTATATTTTTCTACTCATCGTTGTCAAACGTGATCTCACAACAGAACTGTAAATGTGATCTCAATTAGTCCGATGATTCCCAATCAATTATTAATGCACGTGTGTTAGCGATTACTCTTCCATACGTAATGTATTTTCTGAAAGTATAAATAATTGTTTTCTCGCTTCCTTTTTTTACACGTATTTCGAAACGGTTTTTAAAGTCGCTCCGATTTTTACGAAATTCTGATAATCACTGGGAATCATTAGCGTAACGAAATAATTTACTTTACAAGATGTAAGTATGTAATGTATTTTGTAAATGTAATTTGTAAACCATTATAAGGGAAACGAGAAATGATATTATTTTCAAATGTCTAACATTTAGTGTCAAACGTACTCCCGATTACACGATTGATAAAATTATTCTACACGTGTACGATTGCATCTAATAAAGAATATGCAAAACGATAATACATGTAAATGTTAATAAATGTTATATATAGCTTCAACGATTTTTACTTCAGTACCTCATCTTTTACAATTTTTTTTCTAAACTTCGAAAAAGTGTTTGATTACAGATAAACTATTAAAATTTATTACTTACGCGAGAATAAATTCGAGCGATTTTTGAATTTTTAAATGTTCGATCTTTTATTGATAATTTTTGTCCATAATTAATTTATTTGAATTAGCTTTTCAGTGGTATATTAAAGTGTTCATAGACTGCGGCGGAAGGTCGAAGCAAAGTGTACGTTTCTGTGAATCTTTCAGAATTACGTGCTGCGCGGTGTCGTTCCTGAAATACAAAATTCTTATAAATCTCTTCTCAACGACACAATTTTATTAGAGATCTCAACAAAGAAGTTAAAAAACGCGACGTCGACCAATAAACTCGTTTCTCACTTCTCGCGATTTCGACCAATAAAAACGATTAACAAATTTTTTTCACATTGCATTACCTGTTGTACAATACAACGGCGACATTCCCTGATGGAGTAAGGAAGGCACTGGATTTGACTGCGTCTGTATCAGTGATCGAAGTTCTAATAGAGCCTCTGTCGACGAATCTACTAAAATGTTGCATAGCATAATAACTAGGTTGTTTATAAAATTCGTCAGCTTCTGGGTTCACGATAATAGCAGCGTCGAGATAAACCTCCTGCCAGTTTGGGCCGCCAGTTGTATCCAAAGCTATGTTCCAATCTACCCATCCAACGGTCCAATGATTCAAGTACTTCAAACAAAATTAGAACACCCCTATTTTTATAACTTGTAATAAATTATTTTAATTGAATATAAATTCAGTATTTTTACGTACTTCGATCATAGTTAAAATGTACCTCTCTCCATGTTGCCATGATCCGACTTTTTCTTGGGAAGTATTCCAAACTGGAGGCGACACATTTTATAAGGGGGAATAAAAAAATTGTATATTCCTATAGTCAATTAAGATCTAACAAATACTATTAGAAAAAATAACAGGTGACATATTCTTGTAAGAATATGAATCTAATGCATTATGGATCCGAAGGTTTAAAAAAAAACGTACAAACAATATGTAAGAAACTCACTAGTCGTAATGGATGACTCGGTTACGAGAATAAATTTGTTTGGAAATTCGTTGTGTATCTCGTCTAACACGTCCGGCTCAGCTAAATAATCCTGATACCAATGCACAGCTATTCCACCGACGTACTTGTTTGATCTCTCACACTTAAGAGTGGGCTGGACGAACCAAGGTAACAACGATCTGTTATCATCCATAGCTAATATCAGCGTCTCGTTATGCGAGGATGCCGCCAAGGCCGGACCGAAGTAATTGCCAACCCAATCGGCCATCGATTCCGGCATCCATCCCATAGAGGTGAGTGGAACGTCGAATGTTAACGCCGTCAGCGGCTCGTTACCGGTCGAAATCGCCCACATATCAATACCCATTTTCTTGTACTCGTCCAGAAACTTTATCAGGTAGTCAGCGTACGTCTTGTAGTATTCATAACTCAGGAAAGCTAATTTTAATTGCAAAAAATAATCGTTGTTACTGTAATTCATTGTCGGACATATAACGCTTCAAAATCCAAAATATCGCGTCAGTAAATAACGTGTGAAGATTATTTCTTATAAACAAAATCCAAAAGTAAAGTGTAACTATTGTTTCTTTGCACAAGATCCTTAATTTCTTCACTTATACGTACAAATGCAATTCCCAAATCTCGTCTAATCGAAATTGTGCGATATGGAATAGATTAATGACTAGACTGCGGATTTCATACATTTACAAAAAAATTTGATGAGCAGGTCATATAAAAAGTACATATAACGTTCAAGATTATATACAATATATATTGTAAATGTATTACCACCATGTATCCCCCTTTTCAATACTGAAAGACATGAAATAAATGATTGCTACTATTGTAATACGTACTTAATCCACTGATGTCATCTTCCGTGAATTTCATCCATTGTGGCGCGGTCCACGCGGCACTCAAGAATTTTGTGTCGGGATTTAAATCGAGAGCTTTCTTTAAATACGGTATTTTGTAATCGTAATCTTCTATTGTAAGTGCGAAGTGCTCGAGCTTGACATCATTGGGAACATCGTCGTACGAGTAAGGTCTCGTCGAGGCATCAACGCCAGCAATAGGCACCCGAGCCAACGAATATCTGCTTCCCTTCTTGCGATCGTAATATGCCCTACAGTAACATTTACTCTTCCTTACTTCTTTCATTTTATAATTTCAAAAATAAACTGTTCTAAGTGAATTGGATTTATCATTACAATTCAAATAGCAAATAAAAAATGAATGAGAAATACAATAAGCAATAAGTATAATTGAACGAATGTTTTACAAGAAATGCAATAAAAATTATTTAATTAAAAGAAGTTCTTTTAATTCAATATTATTTGATAAGTTGCTTGCATTTTCGAAAATTATTACCGCAACAGTTGGTCTTGGGTAGCTGGACTAAGTTTTAAGAGGTTGATTCCAACCGCATCGGTGAACGCGCCACCGAAACCAATGATCGTCTGATACTTTTTCGAGGTATCTATACTCAGCACTTGGCTTTTAGGAGATTCTTTACAGTCACCGAATTCTAGCTGTGACATCTTCATTCGGTCTCCTTGTTTGTTCGACATGAACCAATGGGAACTCCCTTCCTTCGGGACTTCCGGTACATCATCGAAGGGACCGTCGCAGTACGTGGCATTGCAAACGCACGCAACTATTTCGCCGTCTACGCGGTAAGGCACGCAATCGTTTGCGGTACCTATAGAACGCGAAATACTTGCAAATAGTTAGATCGTTTTGAAATTTTAATAGGATAATAAATTGTTTAAATAATGAATAGAGAAAAATAGTCAGAAGAAAAATTGAATAATACCTTCGTCGAAAAAGAAAGTTATTAACAAAAGTATTCGCCACATTTATACGCGTTATCGTTTGTTTTTGAAGATTGGAACGTAACTGGATATATTTGTATGAACAACGCACGCTTTATATATGTTCTTCCTTTATTTATTCTTAGATATGGTACAGAACGTAAAATATTATGTAGGCTACACGCAACTGTCACATGTATTATGTTTGACAAATGTTTGACAGCTGTTATATGCGTCACCAAACATTATGTACGACTAGATATCTCATATTTGGAAATTCACTGCGTTTGTGCTGGATTGAAAATGAATAAAATTCCTACAAATTCAAATTGCATACATTTATTCGACCATTGGTTTATCTTAAATGCCACATAGTGACAGAGATCATACATATTTTGATTTCTACTGTCCGAAAGTAATGGTAGTCAGAGACTGAGGAGGTAAAGTTACGCAAATGGTACCAGCGTTCGGCTCGTTTATAGTGATTGGCGTTTCTGTTTGATTCCTGCAAAAAATAAAATAAAAAATAATAAATTCCTGTAGAATATAAATTGTTCATATAAAGCTGAAAGAAATGCTTGTACAGTGTCCACAATACTAGATCAGATATCTACGTTCCGTCTCATCCGATGCATCGTTGTATTAATTTTTAATTTTATATCAACATACAAACATCCAAAAAGTTATTCAATTTCAAAATGTGTACGAATATTTATCGACCTTACTCTACTATATCTTGAAGCACGTAAATCGTTTAATCTCATAGAATCCAAAATTAATTAACCCTATATTTAATAAAAGCTAGTAATAATTTTTTATACTAATAAAGTGACGTTACCTATTATATACGACAACAACGACTTCTCTTTGTGGCGTTAAGAAGGCCGTCGTGCTGATCACGTCCCCGGGTGGGTTAGTGATGCCAATCCTGACTGAGCCCCTCTCAACGAATCTGCTGAAGTGTTTCACAGCGTAGAACATTGGTTGTTTATAAAATTCATCATTGTCGGCGTTGACGATGATAAGGGCGTCTACGAAATTCTTGATCCAGTTTGGTCCACCTACCATGTCCAGAGCAAAGTTCCAGTCCATCCATCCGACTGACCAATTGTTAAAGTACTTGTACAGAAACATTACTTATAAGTATGTAAGCAACAGTTTCATTTTATGGCCAGGCTAATTATTAGACAGTGGATGTTCATGCATTTATCGGAATTTTAAATAATTTAAAGAGACATAGTGGTACGTAGAGAAATATAAGATATCCTAAATTAGAATTTATAATATTTAGAGCAGTAAACAAATGTTTCTACGCATTCTATTTGTTTAACTGTATTTGTAAAGATAAGAATTTGCATAAACTATTGGTCTACTAGTTACATAGTATGAAGTTTGCTTTACCTGTATCATGCTTAAAGCATACTGTTCTGCACGCTCCCATGAACCTAATATCACTTTTGGATAGTCGAATATGGAGGATCCTAGATGAAGTAATATTACTTTTTAATACAATTTCGGGATCAGCAGTTTGAACAATATTTAGTTAAGGAGATGTTGACTTGTAGACAACCAAGAAATTTCGAACCAGTTCTTCGTGTACATAACTTCCACTTCTAATAAGCTTGAAAGTTATAATTCACAGAACTTTATTGTTACATTTACTCATATTTTTATATTTCTATATTTACTCGGGCTTATTTTAAAGCCAGATAACTTTTTAATATTTAATTTCCTTTTAAACGCTAAAAGGGTCCAGTTTACTATATGAAGTTTAAACAAAATCAAAACGACACGACTTTTAACGTTTCATTTGGAACCCTAGTAAACATTTACGTCTTTTGCAGATTTAAATAAGTTGTATGCATGGCTACACGTGTACAAGTTTCATCAGAATCGATTGAAGCGTAAAAATGTTAGAGCCGTCGAAACACATAAAAGTCTTTCAATTTATTCCGGTTATATACTCCACGTCGTGAAAAACTTCTATACTCTTTATATTCAGTTGTTGGTAGTTTATAGCGACATTAATCAATTTTGATGAAACTTTATAAATGCAGTATAAATTACTTAGATTTGCAAACGCATGTTTCAAATTTTCATTAGAGACTGAATGAACAGATTTGACGACGATCAGTCAATTGACTTACCCGCGCATGCCTCGTTCATCAAAATGAATTTATTCGGAAAATCGTTGTGGGTCTGGTCGAGTACATCGGGCGGAACAAAGGAGTCGTCGTACCAATGGACGGCTATACCGGCGATATAATCTTCCACGCCCGGAACATCGAACATTTGTTGTACGGCAGAAGGTAAAACGATTCTCTGATCATCTATTGCCAGAATTTGAGTATTGTTGTACGTGGAATTCGCCAAGGTTGGTCCCAAATTGTTGACGACCCAATTGGCCACCGTCGACGGTGACCAGCCCATTGAGTTGATGATACTCAACGGATAATAAGCGTCCAGCGGCTCGTTACCCGTCGACACGGCCCATATGTTGATGCCATTGCTCGCGTACGCAGCCAAGAATTGTAGTATATAATCGGCGTACGTTTGATAGAATTGCGGTAATAAAAAGCCTGTTCGAAGATTCAGAATTAATATTATATTGTTAGATCGATGATTCAATGTTCGTGTGTTTTAAGTTGTGTTTCCTTCAAGTGAACAATTTTTAAACATAAGTCGTTTCGCCCTTACATAAGATTTTTGGATCGTTATCTCTTTGGAATGAGGAAAGTTAAATTTGGTGTGTTCTGGTCATGATATTTAAAATCAAAATATGCCGTACGTAAGGCCCTACGTCGGTGTTTTTTGTTAATAATTCGAAACTCATGCCTCACTTTGCATTTTGCCAAAGGAAATTGTTGTTCAGAAATACCTACAGAATCACCCATTTCTGGCTCGAACACTTTTTCTGGAACACCCTGTATAATGTCTCACTAATAGTGACCAAAGAGCTTTAGAAATTAACTTTAAACTAAACATTAAAACTTGTTTAGATTCCCTGAGAACTAAAGACGTACAATCATATTTTTGGCCAATTCAGTGATTAACATTGACATTCATATCATAGCAAATATGATCGAGAAGTTGACACTTCTTGCCTTTGTAAAAACGTAAAATTATAAAAATTGTTAATTAAAGCTTCTGTCGAAAATTATCCTGACAAGGATAGAAAAGATGTATGATAAAAATGTTTAGTGATCTGAAAAATTCGGTGGACTTCAGTGTAATCTTACCAAAGCCATTGATTTGGCCATTAGATTTCATCCATGGCGGAGCTGACCACGCGGCACTGTCGAGCAGCAAGTTGGGAGCTAGTCGGAGGGCCTGTTGTATGATCGGGATTTTATATTGCAGATCTTCCGGGGCGAGCGAGAATTGTGACAAAGTATAGTCGCCCGCAATGTCGTCTAACGTATATGGCCTCAACGAGAAATCGGTTCCACCGATCGGCACGCGACCCAGATTGTAACTATTTCCGGTGACCGGATGAAACAATGATCTACAAATAATAAACGAGGTTTCAAAGTATTTTTCCAACATTAAGAATATCAAAAACATTTTACCAACGTTCTTCAAATAAAAGGATCGATTAATATTTCCAAAAATATAGTTCCTCGTCTAATTCTAATAGTTCGGAATTCGGAAATCTCCGCACTTTTCAATAAAATCGAATAAGTAATTTTTATACCGAGATACAGCGACTTGAGCATGTTCTTCAAAATTCGATATCGTGATGGAACACTAATAACAATTGAATTTACATTTAATGATCGGTGATCACACTTCGAGCGTGATGAGACATTAAAGTAATTCACACGGTCGACTCATTATTTATGATCGTTTAAAATTGAGAATATTTATATCGGAGGTTTAAATTACGCCAATAGATTAGATTGAGTTGCCGGGCTGAGGCTCAGGATGTTGATGCCGTTCGAATCCGTGAAAGCTCCGCCGAAACCGAGGATCGTTTGATACGTTTGACTGGTGTTCACTCGCAGGGCCACGGCGCCCGACGGAGCACCCCGGCAAGAGTTACTCATACTGGCGTTCAGATTCAGTTGCATTCGAAGCCCGCTTCTGCTCGACGTGTACTGGCTAAAGCTCCCGGGTGGTGGGATAAGGGTCCGATTGTTCGGCGTCGTGTCGCAATACGTAGAATTGCAGACGCATACGATTTGGTCGGGACCAAAGCTACGGGGGGCGCACACGTAGAAAGTTGCATTGCCTGCAATTAACCATAATCTACTTAGAATCATTCACATGTGATACACTTCAAGTTCATCAACAATAGACTTCTTATACAGACTATCCCAGAAAAAGTGATGGAGCTGAAAAGAGATGATTCTGGAAGTATTTCAGAACAATTTCCTTTGACAAAATTCAAAGTAAGGCATGGTTTTTCATTATTAAGGAAAAACACTGATCAATGAGAGCACAAATATAATCTGCGCTTAGCCACTGCTGAGCGCGGACCCTACGCGTGCTCTCATTGATCACTGATTTTCGTTAATAATTCAAAAACCATGCCTCACTTTGTATTTTTGTTGTTCAGAAACGTCTCCAGAATCACCCCTCTTCGGCTCTAACACTTTTTCTGGAACGCTCTGTATACCTATTGTAGTTCTACGGACTTTGTACAGACATGCATCGATTTGACACGGTCTGTCAAGATAGGTAAAGAATGTAGAGATCTTTAAAATTTGAAAGCTTTGAAAAAAATAATTCCGTCATATACATGTATGTATCTCGTTAAATGAAGAAATGTAGCATATATAGAATGCTTTTAAAATTATTGCAAATAAGGAAAAACTTTTCCCAAATTAATAGATATTTTGCACAAAACTATTAGATTGAAACGTAGGTATAAAAAACTTACCTTGATTTACGAAGAATGCTATAAGCAAGAGTGCTGTTAACCACTTGAGCCACATGTTTTCCTGTGACTTTAGACCTAAATAGAAGCAAATGAAAATTTTAACTTCCTTTCACACTTTCCTTAACAGAAAACAGGTACACGAAGAAATGAAAATTCAAAGCAGGTACCCTGAGTTTATACGTAGTATGAAAAACACGGAAGTTTAGGTAAACATTTATAAAATTTGCAGACTACACGAGTGATAATATTTGCGACATTTAATATTGACAGAGGTTCGATGCAAGAAGCTGGTTTGCATTTCACATGAGGTGAACATCACTTCCTCGTCTTTACCGGACGCCCCAACTTCTCGCTCAACAACCCATTTCTTTGGGCCGTCTCCCTCTTGTCGTTTTTACCAATTTTTTGTTGTTTCTCGTCGGTAGGTGGAATCAGGTGAGCGTTACGTAACATTGCGAATTTGAACAGGCAGACGGTACCCAAAGGAACAGTAAAACCACATTGCTGAGAACGTGACGTCGGGGCATCAACTATCACGCCTATTCCCAGTACGTCGCCATGCCGGGAATACCTTTTAAAATCTTCTATTCTCTCTGCAGCGTTCCTTTATTCTCTGCGATATGCGAATTCTCGAGGTTTTGAAAATCATGTAATTGAAACACAAATACAAGTTTCGCAGTAATTCTCTCAATTAAATATGTCGGACATAATTTTAATTTCTACCACGTGCAATAATCCCATTTATGAAAAATATCTAACTAAAGTTAATGTTTAAGTATGCATTAACACGTAACGAAGATTTTTAAGTACATCTATCTACAGCTTGTGGCTGTAAATATTTCCCCTATCAATGGCAGACTGTAAAAAATTGTTCCATTTTTTTGTGTTACGAGCGCCCGGACTACTACTATTTAATCCGTACTCGAATACTTTTCATACTCCGTGCAATAATCCTATTTATGAGAAATATAAGAAATAAAGCACCTTTGAGCTAACACTTGTTCTAAATTTAAATTTTAAGCAATGGATGATGCGATAGTGAGAAATAAGGATTATAAGTATGAGTTACAAGCTTTAGTATTTCACAATCTGCTCGTCTCTTGAGATCACTAATGCAAGATTACCGTCCGCCAATTAAGTTCCTATCGTCCGAGCTTTTGGCCGAACTCAACTGCGTCCAAGTTACGAATCACCGCACCTTATGTATACCCTGATACGCGGAATGTATTCATTATTTATAATAGGCACGTAAAAATATTACATGACAATTGATTAAGTTATCGATTCTTGTGACTGGCGGATATGTTAATCCTTCTCATTTTCCTTGAAACCTTCTCGACCGTTCCACGAATTTTATAAATATTATTTTTCACTGCTATGCTCAATGCTTGTTCGAAGCAGGATGGAACAAATTACAAAATACGGTATGGATGCGACAATGAGAGAAATTTTTAATCTTGTGCAATTCTTAATAGATGACTTAAGAATAATTTGAAGTTGAAATAATATCAATTTCGAAGATATTCTTTAAGACATACAGTACAAAGTATGCTAAATAAGAATTATCGGACATGTAGAAAGTTACAAGTCACGTACAGTCCAATAAAAAAATATCGAAAACTATGTATTAGAATATCAGAAATTACGCGTTAAAAATTTCTTATGACCGTGAAGAACAGGGCAAACAATTTTATAAACCTTACTCCTCTGTAATCATCATTTTTCCTAAGAGTTTATTGTTTCAAACATTGGTCAAAGCTTTTAGGTAGAGATTTTACGGCTCATACAACCATAAAAGGAATCACAAAAGATCTTTATAATTGCTCAACCGATATCCGCGAAGTCAATTGTTTTAGACGAGATGGATAAACTTTGAATGAAGGAGGAATGCGTAGCGGCTCCATTTTAGTAGCGACCTTAACGATTTTCGTTTAAACTCTGTATTTGAACAATAACTCCGGCGATCTTTTGTGCGAGGAGATAACGCTGCGATACGGGCTGTATATAATTTGCATCTGGATACGGTTTACGTATATTTCGACAAACATTTTTAAATTTGAACGTAATAAACATTTATAGCCATTGCAGTAATTAGTGAGCAAATTCTCCTACTCGTAAGTCAAAGTGTTTATGGATTGCGGAGACAGTCGCAACCCAAGCATACCTCTCTGCGCATCCTCTAGAGTTACGCTTTTTGTGACCTTATCCCTGAAATAAATGAAAAATTTATATGATTTATTAATTTTAAATTTAATTTGTATTATGTTACATTCGATAAAAATTAATTTTTTTTCAATGGTATGCGACTGTTTCGATTTGAAAAAAAAATTAATTTTGCATCGAATAATTCAATTGTCTCAGTGAAGTTAACAAGTATGTATTACAGAAAATTATTATTTGAAATAATGTATTTCATTACGTATTGCATAACAGAATGACGTTTTTTCGCTAAGGTGTAACGAAGGCAGTGAATTTGATTGCATCGGTATCGGTAACAGAAATTCTTATGTGTCATTTGATCCTTCTTATTTTCTAACCGGATTTCAATTTATCTAAAGATATTATTAGATCAGATGTAATTTGGTGGTAATAATATTCAGTATTTATTTCACAGTTTTTTATTTGCATACTAAAATATATTCGTTACGTTAGAAAATAGAATACATAAATTTATTGCAGTTCTTTTTTTCTTTTATTTTAGTTAATTATGCATCATCATAAAGGTAATGTAAGGTCCAGATAATAACAGAGTTCGTCATAATCGCTGTTTTCCTATGACGCGTAAATAATAGTATTCATGGAGTCTCCTGGTAATTCCAAACAGACGGAGCCAATATTCGGATCGTTCAGGCTAACTGAAGTAGAGAAGGGATTCCTGCGAGAGAAAAGTATGTTATCAAATATAAATATGGTGTTCCTTAAATATTCTAAAAATAATTGCTTAAGATGCTAAACCTATTTAAATTTCATAAGTCATAATTTGAATAATTTTTAATCGAAGCAATGTTAAATATTATCTGATACGAAGGCATGTAATTAAAGCTTGAAAACATCTTTCCTTAAATAAAATGATTGGAGATATTTAAATTAGGCGATTCATTTCGCGTATCTACATATTACATAATTGCTATTATGATATATATTATAATAATTGATAATATTAAAATTAATTAAAGATAAATTTGTATTACTCGTTGTATAAGACGGTAACGACTTCCTTCGAGGGTGTAACGAATGCCGTGGCTTTAACAAGTGGCGAATCGCTAATGGATACCCTGACCGAACCTCTATCGACGAATCTACTGAAATGTTTGATCGCGTAGTACATCGGATTCTTATAGAACTCGTCAGTATCCTCACTGACAATAATCGGCGAGTCCAGGTAATTTTTAATATAGGTTGGTCCGCCTTGTGGGTCAAGGGCATAACACCAGTCTACCCACCCGACCGACCAATGGTTCATGTACTTAAATCAGAATATAATATCCAACAATAAGTAATTTTGCAGGATACTATAGTTTGTTCGGTAGTCTAATTATTATAACGCGACCACTTGGTTTACCTGAATTATACTTTGCATGTACTGTTTTCCTCGATCCCACGATCCTGGTATCACTTTGAGAAACGGGATTAGTACCTCCGATCCTATGTATAAAATGCTATTAATTTCACATTCATATAGCTCTAGAATATAATAATCCACAATGCATTCAAATCAGTTTTATGCAATTATCATCAATGCGATTTTTGATACTTACAGAAATTGAATCACTCTACTTTCAGAAATTAATCATTTAATCTATCTGGCTTAAACTGATTAATAGTAAATCTTCAATCATTTCTAATTCAGTTTTGAAGAAGTCAACTGCTCACGAAGCTCTTACCAATGGATGCTTCAGTCAACAGGATAAATTTATCTGGGTCAAGATCATGCGTTTTGTCTAATACTTCCGGTCCGACCAAGAAATCAGCGTAGGGATGGACGGCCGTGCCGGCGATATATTTCTTCGCCTTTTCATTTTGAAACAACGCTTGGATGAACCAGGGTAATTCGACTCTTTGATCGTCCAGCGTCAATATCACGGTGTTATTATGTTTGGAGTTGGCAAGCGTCGGGCCAAAATTTTCCGCGATCCATTCACCCATCGTGTCCGGAGTCCATCCCATGGTAATCAGGGGATCGAACGGTACGATTACGTTTATAGGTTCGTTACCCGAGGAAACCGCCCATACGTCTATTCCATTCTTTTTATACTCATCCAGAAATTTTAATAGATAGTCGGAATACAGTTGGTAATACTCTTTCTTCAAGAAACCTAGCCAATAATTATAAATCAATTAGGCAATAATTATAAATTACTACTTTCCATTGTGCAATACAGTAACTTAGTTATCCGAATTAATGGAGTTCAACTGAGCACAGTTAGTCACATGTGTTAATAAATTTATTCTTTTCAGTTGCAAATATTTTTTACTTTTTCATCTTCCTTTATTAGTACGTTAAAGGACGTACCAAATCCCTTGAGATTATCGTTAGTTTTCATCCACGCCGGAGCAGTCCACGCGGCACTGAGGAATTTCACTTCAGGATTTAACTCAAGCGCTTTCTGTAGAAACGGTATTTTATAACTGTAATCTTCCGGAGCGAGGGCAAATTGTGCTAGCGTGGTATCGTTAGCATGATCATCGTATGTGTACGGTCGCGTTGAGAAATCAGTTCCACCGATCGGTATTCGTCCTAGTAAATATCTGCTTCCTAACACCGGATCGTAATACGCTCTAGGAAATCGTGAATCACAAATAAGAAATCGTCTATTATCACTTCGAAGGAGAATTGTATTTTTTAATTGTGCAAATCACTTTTATTGATCTGTGATTCGAGCATTTTATTAATTCCCGTTTAATTACCGGATTAATTGATCCTGTGTAGCTGGACTGAGCCTCTTGACGTTTATTCCAGCTGAGTCTGTAAATGCAGCACCGTAACCAAGGATCGTTTGGTACGTTTTCGTCGTATCTATGTCGAGTTCCGTAGTGAGAAATGAAAGTAAAGAGTTTTGGCAAGAATTGATCTTCCCTTTTCTCAAATCCAACCTGAGTCCGTCTTGAGTCGAGACGTACCAGTAGTAGGTTCCATTTGGAGGTATTTTTGGGTCGTTATCCGGTGTACTATCGCAGTAAGTTGCATTACAAACGCATACGATTCTGTCTGGGCCGAAACTACGTTGCGCGCACTCGTGCGCACTACCTGAATAATTGACCTTTCCGTTGATACACTTAATTAATTGGAGCTACTATAGTTCTAGTGACACAAGAGATATGTCCTACGTGTCTATAGTGAAACAGGAGAAATATTAATATGTGCTAAAAAGTATTTTTCTAAATGTAAATTTATGTACATATCGAGCTTTTATAATACGAATTTAATAATAAGCATGCAATTTTTGAAGGTAAGTGTTAATTGATTAGGGCTTATTGCTTTGAGAGAAATATTTGTTCAAATGCTACATCTGTGAACGTAGAATATTTAACATCATTTAGAGAATCGATTAACGAGTTTTTATAATTTATTGGTACCTTTGCCGAAAAGGAAAGCGAACAATAATAATAACTTCCACAGACTTGCACCCATTGTTGAGTCCTGTGGAACTGCTTTTGTAGGAGCACTACGAGCTCACTGCATTTTAACTGATATGCATTCAACACATTTATACATTTTCGCAGATATCAGAAAAAGGAAAAACAACTGCCGCTATATATCAACGTCACAAATAAATAATTGTAGTTTCGCTTCACGTGTCACCGATAGTACATTCTACAATATTATTTTTAGTAATTATTCATAATGTGTTTTTAACGAGTTCTGTATAACAACTTTACTTTATTTATTCAGAGAAACAAACTATGCTTCATCAAATTTTAAGATATGAATTAGTCACGAGCATAAAGTAGTTTCCTGTTCAATTGTCTTTTCTTTAATTTTCATTAGATTTGCACATTGCGAAAGTAAAGTTCATCTCATATTTTGACGATTACAAGCTGTATGTATAAGTGTGAATATTTTCTAATTTTTATATTGGTTAATTTATAACTTGTTGTAACGCCCTGACACGCTCTCTTTAAGTACGGTATCTTGTAATTGTGACCTTGCTTTACGAGTGCAAAATGTTGCAGCGAGCTGTCATTGGCTACTTCGTCGTACAAGTAATGTCTCAGCGAGAAGTCGCTGGCAGCGATTGGTACGCGAGTCAATATGTATCTACTTCCTCTTTTTGCAGCAATGTTTAAAAGTGTATGTTCAATACATGTAATAGCAATCAACTTTACAATTAAGTTTGGGTAACTACCATAATAATTGATCTTCCGTGGATTGGCTAAGTTTGGCTATGTTAATGCCAGTCGCGTCGGTGAACGCGCCTCTATCACTTAAAAATATTATTAGATCAGATGTAAGTTGGTGGCAGAAATATTCAGTATTTATTTCACAATTTTTTATTTGCTTGTATTATAATTCTAAAATATATTCGTTACAATCGGTAATTAGATCGGAGATAGTGCGCGTAATTTCTAAAAATAATGTTCGCCTATTAAATACCAAGGCTGCGGTTAATTGTATGTAAGTTTCATAGTGCATAGATCACAGTGCTCATGGACTTAGCGGGTAGTTCCAAACAAATGGACCGTCCATTTTCATCGTTCAGTGCAACGTTTGCTGCAGTAGCATTTCTGAAAAATAAAATAAGTCATTCAAATTGTTAGTAATATTTTGTTTTGTTAGAATTATAGTTTATGTGGCGTTTCACTCTTTTTGTTAGAGGTTGTACTGCTGGGGCAGTTTCTGTACGTATCGAAAGTGTAGACAAATCCGTGAAACGAGAGAGATATAGTTTTTACATGCTCATTGTTTCTCTCAGAAAAGTTTTGCTTTTCTCCTTCAAATTGCTTCAAATGTCAAATACTGACGAATAAGGTATAGTGTCGTAGCCAGCAGCCAATATCGTGATGAGAAGTAGCATATAGCTAAAAATTTCTACACCGTCCACAATTCAGGCATGGCCAACTGTGTCGCGTACGTGACACGGCCCTGAGCGGGAGCACAGGTGGGGATACGTTAAGTAGTATGAGCGTATTATGGTCCGCCAAATTACTGTGACTACTGCACGACACGATATGGGGAGAGCTATTAGAGAAGGGAGAAACGAGTTGGCCGTGCCTGGTCTACATCTTTATTAAGACTTGTGAAACTGCCTCTAGTAGCATTGTGTGATGTAACACGTCCTAACAGAATTTTTTATAATATCAGTTTTACTCTCATTGCTCGCTTATATAAATTACTAGCTGCACTCTACTAGTTTGCACCTCGCCATTCCCTCCCCCTCCCCCATTGACGAACTACCTTAATATATTAATAATAATTAGAAATATAGTTTGTATTACTTGTTGTATAAGACGATGACGACTTCGTTCGAGGGCGTGACAAAGGCTGTAGATTTGACTGAGTCGGTATCGGTAATTGAAACCCGCACCGAACCTCTGTCCACGAATCTGCTGAAGTGTTTTAACGCATAGTACATTGGTTGCTTGTAAAACTCGTCGGTGTCTGGATTTACGATAATGGGTGCGTCGACGAAATTGTTAATCCAATTCGGGCCACCCGCTTTGTCCAAAGCCAAGTTCCAGTCCACCCAACCGATGGACCAGTGATTCATGTACTTGGATCAAAATACATTCATCAGTAAAAATATTATAATTGTTCCAGATAATAAAATTATTGAACAGCGATTTATGTGTTCATAAAAAATTGTTTCTAATATGGAGAGTCATAAGAAACATGCACAGGGAACTATTATAATCTGACGATAAAATCTATGTTAGTGTAATTATGAAAAAGAAATAGTACTTAAATTCATTGTGTTGCTTATAAGAATACGAATTCGTGTAAATATTTATAGTGTATTAGATTAGCTGTTTTACCTCTATTATACTCAAAATATATCTTTCTCCACGGTCCCATGATCCAATAAGAACAGTTTCGACTTCTCCCACTGTAGAACGATTATTGTTGACATTTATTTCGTAATTATTAATGACCGGCTCAATGAAAAACAAGACTGAATGGATTTTATTTTAACACACGACAAATCTAATATTTTTGATAATGATTTAATAATTGGTATGATCAGTTGCATAAATCACTGTCATATCTATGTTTTTTATATTATTTTCGAGCAAATGAAATTATTTTAAACAATATTGAAATTCAGTTGAACTGACCCTGTCTTGAAATAAGAAACTTATTAACGAGGAAATCTCGATTAACTTTACCTATACAGGCTTCGGTCATAAAAATAAATTTATCCGTATTTAAGTCACGCAGACTGTCCAGTACCACGGGTCTTACTAAGTAATCGAAATACCAATGGACAGCCGTTCCGGAAATATAGTTCTTCGCTTCCTCGTGCTCTTCATATAATATGTACATGAACCAAGGTATACTGAGTCTCTGATCGTCTAGAGCAATGATCAGCGTGTCATTATGTTTAGAATTAGCGAGGGTCGGGCCGAGATTCTCGACGACCCATTTGCCCATAGTTCTCGGTGTCCATCCCAAGTCGCTAAGTTTGTTGCCTGGTACGTAGGTACTCATTGGCTCGTTACCGGTCGAAACTGCCCACATTTTAATCCCATTGTCTTTGTATGCATCCAGAAACTTCATTATGTAATCGCTATAAATTTGATAATATTCTTCCTTCAAGAAAGCTAGTAGGAAGAATTGTTATTTTCACTAATACGTATTAAATATCCGTTTGTGTCATTTTATTTATTTAGAAATTACTTACAAAATCCGTTGATCTTTTCATTTGTTTTCATCCAGATTGGAGGTGACCACACAGCGCTTAAAAACTTCACATCAGGATTTAGTTCGAGCGCCCTCTTAATGTATGGTATTTTGTAATCGTAATCCTCTTTGGCCAGCGCAAAATGTGCCAGCGTAGTGTCGTTCTCGTGGTCATCGTACGTGTACGGTCTCGTTGAGAAATCGGTCCCACCAATTGGGATACGACCTAACAAGTACCTGCTTCCAACTTTCGGATCGTAATACGCCCTACAAATGGCAAATCACAAATGGATTATAAAAATATATTATTATACAATAGGATTGTCCATTATACAGGGAATCTAAAAAAAAGTTGAAAAGTTGTAATTCTGGAATTATTTCTGAACAAGTGGAGTTGTTTCGAACTTCCGCTCGCTTTTATTCATGTATGTATATTAAAAGGATTTTGAACCGTCAAATAAGTAAATAAATAATGTATGTGTGGAGTGAGTCCGGAATCCAGAATCGACTACTTCGCAGCGTATCCATCACAGAATTATGAATGCAAATCCTTTGTACGCACAAATTAGTTAATTACCGAATTAATTGATCTTGTGTAGCCGGACTGAGTTTCTTGATGTTTATTCCAGTCGAGTCTGTAAACGCGCCACCATAGCCGAGGATCGTTTGATATCTCTTGGTTGTATTTATATTCAGAACAGGATTAGAGCTTGATTCGTTTTTGCAGTTTTCACTGATGTTTCCCTTTATCAAGCTCACTCTAAGTCCCGCTTTGCTAGAGACGTACCAATAGAAGGCTCCTTTTTCAGGTATTTTTGGCTCATTATCGGGCGTACTGTCGCAGTATGTTGCATTACAAACACATGCCAGTCTATCGGTTCCGAAACTGCGCGGCACGCATTCGTTAGCATCACCTGTGATAAGCAGTAATTTCTTTTAATTACTTAAGAACTTCGATAAAGCGGTTATTTAATTTGAATGAAATATGGCTCGTTTTTCATAGTAGCTGAATATGTATACATTACAAGTGCCTTTTCTTTATGCACGTGTAAATACATTGTTTTCAATTTTCTGGTAAATAAAAAATTATCTGTACAATAAGTGTTCCAGTTTCTGTTCACGTAACAGTTTCTACTTACTGGCTTAGTATTTTACATAGAATGATAGAAAAAATTACTCCCGAAGAGAAATTGTTAGGTGAATATAAATTGGGTCATTTACTGTACAATCAAAATAAACGTTCTTTTCTTGGTACTAAAATATTCTTAAACTCGTACTGTCGTTGTTTACTTGATTATTTTGGAATTTTGATCTTTTAATTATTAGAGATCTGGTAATAACTTGAGAGTCTTGCTCAGTCTTGAATAAATCAAATGAACTTCTCCCATGGTCGTAAAAGTCGGAGTAACAAAACTGTTGAGCAAGTCGATTGTAATAATTCTTACCTTGAACAAGCAATTGGATGTACCCAAGAAGGGATGCCGCTATCCACACAGTCCACATGTTCTTCGTCCACATCTGCTGAAATAGAAAATAAATGATTTTTAAATAATCGAACTGTGGATTTTTACAGACTACAGATTATACAGACTATAGTCCTGTTTCGCTCGTTTTCGAGTAGCCTCAGCAGCCGTACGCGGCACCAGCGTTCGTATAAAATGTCCCGCACGGTTCGCTTGCCCTCTTTTCCGCCCGCATTTCGATCCCCACTACTATTCTCTTCATACGCCTTCGCTGACCATGCCTAGCATACCCCCATCAAGTACCAGTCCCTACTATGGTCGTGTCGTCCCCACTTTCCGGCCGAGGGACAAATTATACGAACGCTGCGCAGCACCGGACCGATCACTACCGGATAGTGGGAATCCTTCACTGTGATTACTACACGAGGTGGGGAGAGTTGCTAGAGTGGGGAGGGGCGTTCTTTCATCCCAGCAATTTTTTAAAACAATTATTTGACATAAATTTATGCTAAGAAATTAATCGTTTTATTCATTATAATTTCCCACTCTTCCCTGTTTACGCGTACTTAATAATACGATGGTATCTTACTAAATGTAAGATATGTAAATGAATCACAAGAAGTAACAGAAGACATGTGAATGGAAAATAGAAAATGAAATACACAATTTTACTGCAATTCAGATTTACTTTTATTTTAGTTAATTATGCATCATCATAAAGGTAATGTAAGGTCCAGATAATAACAGAGTTCGTCATAATCGCTGTTTTCCTATGACGCGTAAATAATAGTATTCATGGAGTCTCCTGGTAATTCCAAACAGACGGAGCCAATATTCGGATCGTT